ATTAATGATGTGCTGAACACAAAGCGAGCGACACGACATGACTGCACGACAGTGAACTGTAAATGGTGTTGTGAAGCCTGCTACATGAACATTTGTAAGAAAGCAACGACACAGCAATGTACACGAAACTACACAGCTCTCCATTTTGTATGTACACAATTTAGTTGTTGCCATATTAATCGCTTTCACTTCAATGAAATTTTACTATTTTGTTCAAAGTGAAATTTTTTAAAGAAAAGCTAACTAAATTTATTTATTTTAAATTATTAATTGTAATTACAAATTATATGACAGAGCTATTTTACGCTACTCTATATAAAACAACATCAGGTTTGTTAGAGCTTTGAATAATTTGAATTAGTGGCATCACTACTCCTCGCTACTGTCGCCGGTTAATTTAGAAATATTTTTAAGCTGTATAGATAGCTGTGTCCGTAAGAACGTGTATATTTTAATATTTGACAGATGTCGCTAGATATCTGTCGCTCTCTTTGTGTTCAGCAGATGACATAAATAATGAGAATTGAGCGTATTGTGTGAAAGATTAAAGCCCACCGTCAACAAACTGATTGGACCGTATCAGTGTGGCCTTAGACCTGGCAAATCAACAACCGACCAGATATTCACTATGCGCCAAATCTTGGAAAACACCCGTGAAAGGAGAATCGACACACACCATCTCTTCGTCGATTTCAAAGCTGCTTTCGACAGAACGAAAAATAGCTGCCTTTATGCCGCGATGTCTGAATTTGGTATCCCCGCAAAACTAATACGGCTGTGTAAACTGACGTTGAGCGACACTAAAAGCTCCGTCATAATCGGGAAGGACCTCTCCGAGCCGTTCGATACCAAATCTGAGCCAATTAAGAGGAAGAAGAACATTTAGAAAAAAAAATTTTTTCTTGTATATTGAAGGTAAAGGATTTGAGATTTGATATTATCCTTTTGAATTATTCTGTTTCTGTTGTACATTTTACCTGTATTTTCTAAATCTTCTAATACTACTTGTTTTTCGTATTTGGGGTTTAATTTATTTCATTCCACATATTTTTTCATACATAATATCTCCTTTTTGATAACTTTGTTGAAGCCTTTTCTCGTTATGATGCTCTAGCATTTTTTTTATGCATTTTGCAAAACATTTTTCATATTTTATGAGGATTTTTATTATATAAATTGTTGCAAGGTTGTTTACCTGTTACGGAATGAATTGTTTTATTATACTGTTGAACTGTCTTCATAAATTTAAATTACTAATTAAGCTGTGTTCTTGCTTTAAACATCTAGAAATTCCAAGCAGTGATGAATGAACGCTTTCTATTTGGCCATTACTTGTACTGTGACGTATTGTACAATAATAAATTTGCACATTTATCCTTTCCATGAAAGACTTGGCCTGTATCGTACTTAAGCCTGGTTTATTATCATTCGGATGTCTTTCGCGTTTATTTACAGATATCAGCAAGTTCGTTAGAAATTTCAACATTATTTATTTTAAATATATTTTTTTATCCGTAGTATCATATTTTTCTTTTACTTTTGCATGATAAACATTATCTTGACGGCTGCCACAGGAACTTTTTGTCCACAGGGGTTTATTTAAATCGTTGAGAAAACTTATTTTCTCTGTTTTATTTTATGGGACAATCAATTTTATATTTGGAATATCAATTGTTGCTCCGATTTTATTTAGGAAATTAATTCCAATTAAAAGGTCGCTCTCTAAATTGTCAATTTCCTAAAAACGTTTCTGCATACCCAACAGATTGATATTATGAAGAAAACGTTTTATTATGGTTCTAACCCTCTTTTTAATTACTAAAATGTGTTTATTATTACAAATTCCAGACCGTATATATGAGCTGGTTGCTCCCGTATCTATGAGAATTCGAAAGTATTGCCTAGTGTTTGTATCAGTTTTAATAACATACGGTAAATCGGAGTTTACCATTAAAAAATGGTTCTCACCAATATTACTGGTTCTTTCAATTTTTCGTTTAGGTTGCGTGCTTATTTGTGCACTTCCAATTGACCTTTTGGTATATTTGTTGGTTGATAATTGGTCTGGGATAATTGTTGGTAGGATAATTAATCCTAACATGTGGTTGGTTTCTTTGCGGAGAACTCTGTTTATTAATTAATTGAGATGATTGATTCACTTCTATGGGCTCTGGGTGATTGGAATACATT